GGATCCGAGCGACTTTATCATTCAGATATTGTGCAAAGTCCTCAGCCCTCCCCACCAGGGGGTCCCCCCCCCTCAGTTGAAGGAGGGAGCGGGTCACCCTGAAGAGGGTGGCCGGGCGATTATCTGATGACGCAATGAGGGTGGAGTAGTAGTTAGACCTCGCCACCCTCATTGCCACAAGGTAGGATCTAACATGTGTATATACTATCTTCATTATTCTATCCACATAAGCACTCTCACAATGTCCTTCAAAAGGCAATCAACATCCTGCATGGGTATACAACCAAGAGCTCTATTTCACCGGCTGCCTCAAAGAAGGTCCAGGGGAGCTGAATCTATTTCTATTTGACTCTTCTTCTCAAGTCTACCAGAACATCTCCTTCCATCTGAAGTTGCAATGACTTAATCAGATTGATCCTGACCCTATTGATCTTTCGTAAGGCCTTGAAGAGATCACCTGGCAAGATGGTTGGAAGATGTACCAGAGTCCATGAGATGGCTATGTTGATGGGAGAGTTGTGGTTTTATATTGGCTACCGATTATGTATTTATGATTGTGTTTATTTTCTTGGTTTTCAACTGCAGTTAGCTGCTGAGAATCATCATGAAGAGATAGTGACCATATACATTGAATGAATAACCAATACAAATTATAGACCTATTGGATAAGGTTGTAGTGATTGATACAACCCCAATTCAAAGGGGCCAGAGTGTTCCCCCCACTCCAAGGGGGAAGCAGACCCAGGTCAAATAAGAGTAAGGGTAAAGTTCTAAGAAGTCTGTATAGATAGGCACTAAATATGAGATAGATAAGATTAAACTGTAAAGCAGTCAAGGCATTTCTCAATATAACCATCTATTTCTCTGCTTCCATCTTCTATGACTCCCTGCTGGAGTTGGCAGCCCTTGCATAATCTGGGCACCCAGGATTCAAGTTCCCAGTATTAATCAACTGGGCTAAGATCAGTAAAATTTGAGGCCAGCCATTTTCTGTCAGGCTCTCTAACGTGACAAGAGAATTGAATCTGTCTACTTTCTTTTCCTCTTCCCTCCTTTTTTTCTTTTGTGCCATGTCTCTTGGATTGCAATTATTATTTCAGATTATGAAACAATTTGTATGCTTGGGAGAAAAACATAATATATAACATCAGTACATAAACAGATTATTGTGCACATTTCCATCCTCTTAAATCAGGGAGATGAGTATAAAAAGCTTTGGATCAGATGCATACATAAACTTTTAACAGTTTATCTAATCCAATACCCACAGATGTGTTCAATTCTGCCAGAATTCGCACCAACAAGGCCAGTAGCCATATGCTAATACATATGGAGAGCCCCCACAGTGGGAAGAATTAACTACACTCATAGGACTTCACTGGTGGACCAGTTAATCTGCCAATTAAATATTTTGCCACCATGATCAACTGACATGCTGTGTCATAGTGAACATTTCAATTTAAGTCTCCAGATCACTACATGATACTAGCAATTCCAAGATTACCTAACACTGTAAAAATACTTTACCTAGAATTTATATTCTCATTCCAGGATCGTCAAGCACGGAAGTAGTAGCATTGCATAATTATTTAACATTTGTAAAATATCCATTTATGACCAGTATTACAATTTCAATTCCAAATTAATGTTTAAGAGTAAACTTTAAGTCTCTTTCCTGAATGGTCATACTTAC